TTCTACATAATTTTTGTATCCGTTTCCTTTACAATGAATCAAATAAAAATTCCTTTAAAAGCTGGTTTCTGACCTCCAGAAGTTGATCTGCTTACAAACAGAGTATTGATTTTGCCATGCAGCTTTATTTTTAGTGTTTATCAGTTAGTACACTCAAACACGGGTTAGACTTTAAAAACCAAGAGAGCATAGTGAATTGTATTAATACTGGTCTAAACAAACACCAAAAACACAAACTATACTCCATCCAGCTTTTAATTTCTCTTGATACCTTATATCCAGTATGTAAACTGGTTTCTATGAAAACAAATAAAAAAATAAAAAATACATTAAAAAAAAACAGACACGTAAGCAAAAGACATGAAGGGAAACTGCTGTGACATCTTAAGTTTAAAGGCAGAAGTACATGTCTGAATCCTAAATCCTTTAGTGGATAAAACCACCAGCAAAGCTGAACCATTCTGAAGCCATCAGGTCCGCCTCTGTCCTGTCAGGTCGCAGTGAGCAGCACCTGCAGCTGTAGCTACTTACACATCCCTGAGTATTAGGGACACACAAAGGTGCATCCTCTGTACCGTGGTGTTACTTACATCCCTGGTTATCAAAACAGTCTGCTAGAAGTAACAGCTCCCATTTGCAATCTCACTTCAGCACAAAATAGGTTGATAAGGACATGTGGGGACATATTAACCAGAGAAAAAATTACTACCCTGTGGCATAAGCTAGGATTTTTTGAGCAAAGGGCCTGTGAGCAAAGCGTCAAGATCATTGCCACCAAAGGAATGACACCAAGTTAGAAACACTTATGAATTGTTCTGACAAGAGAGTGAATATTTAATTAAGCAAGGTAATTTCTCATGGCATGGTAGAGATAAGGTAGTACACAGAAATCTTATTTAGTGCAAGTCAAGCCTTGCATTTATAAACTAGACAGACGAACAGGTTGAGGTTTTCAGTCTGAGCAAAGAAAAAAAAACATTCTGTGGCTTGCTGATGGCTATGAAGATCTATTCACAAATATGCTTTGTTAAACCTATCCTTTCTCTTTGGCTTGACTAAATCATTATCTGGCTTCAGGATGATACTTTCACTTTTTAAATTAAGAGAACTTCTCTATTTTGGTCCAGAAGATGAACTCTACGACTTAGTCTTAATGAGATGATGATCTTCTCAGATACTCAGAAATTGTTTTGAGAAACCAATTCTTCTCTATGAAGGTTAGCAAGAACCGATATGATGCATTTTTAAAATTCAGTAATAAAAACATCAAAACCATTTTCACCCTAAAGTCAAGCTAGAATGACTGAAAGTAGTGAAATGTCTGTTTTCTCTTCCTTTGTTAAAAAAATAACCTGAACTTTATTATAGAAATTAAGAAATGTAGTTCATTGTGTTTATTGTAACAGCAACTGAGGCATCAGGCAGTAACAGATCTCATTTACATGATACAAACAGATGTACATCTGTTTATGGTATATTCTTTAGTCTCTGTTAAGCTGTTACAGTACTGGGTGACTTACTATGGATCCGTTCAGAGTCACCTTGCTCAGAGACAGCTATCTAAATATTCTCTTGGATAAATATATGAGGAAGAAACCTGCACTCACTGTTAATTTGGCTGCTGGGGACAAGGATGTAGTTGCTGCCTTCAGAGTCCACTCAGTAATGTGGTAAAAGAAGGGGAGTTGTGGCTCACTTGCAAACAAGGGTGTCTGAGAAGTTTCTGTGATCTAAGTTTCAGAAATTGATTTCAGATACATAGATGGGGAGATGTAATAACGGGAAGAAAGAGCGGAAATACTTCACCTAGTGTAAAACAACAACAACGACAACAAAACTTTCCCCTGCAAATTCTGTGAGGACAGAAACTATGCCAAAAATCAAGTGGAAAAGGTAGTGACAGTGAATTTTTGTCACTTCTGGAAGATGAACTGAAGTTTTCACCACACTCAGAACTGCATCTTGAGTGCAAAGAACGCTGCCAGTCAGCCTCCAGGGCTGTCAGCACTGAGACCGATACTCGCTGAAGCTGATGGTAGAATTGGGACATTCCAGATTTAGATAAAGAGTTAAAATCAGAGCAGACAGCAGGTACAACAGATACCTGCACACTTATAATCAAGTGCAAAAACCTGCATGTCTATCACCTACTGCTTAACATCCTTGGCATGGCAGGTAGTTGGCTTTCAAGCATCAGCTGGCTGAGAATGTCAGAAAATGCTCTACCTCACATGCCATCTCTCTAACCTAGAAATCTGGTTTGAGGAGATCTCTTTATGATAGGGAATATGTCAGCTCTGAACAAACCTATGCTCGGTTGGAAGACATCAATGTTTGAAGAGCCTGTGTCCTGCCTTCTTGGGGACCCAGAAGGACAGAGAGCTGAGGAAAAATGTGATAGTCTGGCCAGCAAGTGCATTGGCTGGACTACAGATCTGTGGTCTGCATTACCATACCAATGTCTTGCACAGATGCACAAAGCAGGCTTTTGTTCAGAAGTGTCATCACAATTCCTCAGAGACTATCCTTAACAAATGGTGCTGATACTGCACTGAACAATAAAAATAAAGAATAAATAAAAAATAAAGAATAAAAAACATTAATCTAGGAGAAATTCTGCAATGACAAGGTTGAGACAATCCCTCACCCCCCTTTTTTTTTTTCAACCCTGAAAGCTGAAACTTGTGGGTTGTTTTTTACTTTGTTTTGTTGTTGTTTTTTTTGAGGGAGGAGGGCAAGGTTTTATATGCTGTGTTTTCAGAAAACTGAGGGCACCTGATCTGGATCCAACGACTAGTGAGAGGGAAGGGTCTGAGATAATGAGACAAAATAACAAGAAAAACGGGTCATGGGGGAGCTTTTGAGTCTGATCAGTACAACAAACTGCTAGTGAAACACTAGTCACCAAAATACAATGACAGCAAGAAACCCTCTAAATTTCTTAATGATTTCTTTAAAATCTCTAAATAGGTCCAAGGAAATGCCAGATGAGAAAACAACACCTCCTCCATGCAGCCATAAGTTTAAAACAATTGACAATTTTAGTGACTGATTTTTCACTCAATTTCTTAATAATAACAGCTATGAGAAATAATCATATTAGTGCACATTCATCCTTGTTTCAGCTCTCCTGCCTCCTGTGGATTACTGAGGAATAGGTATTTCCCTATTAAGATAAGCTAAATAGATGTAAGGATGATAGTTTCATAACAATTTAAAACATGAAAAAGTTTGTCTTTCATCTGCAGATGGGGCATGCACTGATACACTACGCAAGTTCTAATTATCCACTTACAATTATAATTACAGAGATTGTCTCAAGCTGCCAGTCACTTGCCTTCAACATCCCTAGTAGTGAACTATTTACATTTTCTGTATCCACCCATAATACATTTGAAACAAGCTACACCTGCAAAGTTTTCATCTTTAACATGTCTTGGAGCAGCACATCCAAACAATTTTATAAGCTTGAGTGGAAATTCTGAATTAGGACCAAGAAGCCTTCAATAAAGTCCATTGGGGGCCCTTCACATGCTGCAGATCAGTAGATACCTTTAATAGCAGAACTGGCCCCACTCCAATACTTGGCCTTTGGCAGCTGCAGGTATTTTGAAGATAAATCAGCAATTTCAAGAGGCAAGGAGCCAGCTGTTCTGCACACAAGCAGGCCTATAGATGCTACGCTCCGCTTGTGAACTGAAAGCAGGTATCCATTGCAGTGGATCTATCTCTCAGTCTCCTACACACATCATTAAGCATCACTCAAGGTATGAAACCTAAACAAAAAAGGCAGTTATTGAATATTCTTATTTTCTACAGGATAAACTGAATTATGCAGGAGCTTAGCTAGCAATGAGGGCATGATCTTGCACTGATTTAAAGGAAGCCAGGATTTCTCATGAGAGTCAGCAATACAACTGAGAAGCATTTTTCTTGACACCCCCTCTTTGTTTTCACAAACATGAAGCTTATTCAGTGCAGGTTTTAAAAATGTTTGAAATTTCTCACTCAGGATTCAAATAAACTCGTAACTCGAAACAAACCCTGCTGGCAACAGTTAAAATGAACAAAAAACAATGATGCACATACTTGAATGCTGAAAGGAAAAATTACCTTGTTCAGAACAGCAGTTCAATAATGCAGTTAAGAATTGGAAATATTTGGGGATGTAGGTTTGGGGTAAGCCTCTCTAACACTTGTGAAACTCTGAGGCCTTGGAACATGAAGGGCTATGGATACGTTACTGTCACGGCTTTCAAAATCAGGGATCAAAATGTGCAATTATATTATACAGAGAAAAGAAAAGGAATTTCACAACTTTAGCCTTGTATCTTTCTCCCTGCATGCTACTTTACATTGCTCAGGTATGCACTGAGGAGCCCAGCTGGTACAGTCAACATTTCAAAGTTGCCCCTCTTCACTCTGTTACATGAAGGTGATTTAGGAGCTTAGATTTGGACATTTCCATTTTAAATAAGGGCCGTTGTAATGTGTATCCCCATATACTGCAGCTATAGATAGGAACTCCTGTCAAAGGGTATATAACTGCCATTAAAAATATTTTGTGAAGGGAAGACTTCAGGTTTACTCCTGCAAAATGTAATTTCTTTAATGAGTTTTTATGCCCACTGGCTCTGTAAATACAGAACTACTCCTTGATTTTAAAAGTAAGTGCTAATTAAAATCCACCATATGATATGGGTTCATGATGCGGACTTCAAGACATCTTTTCTCACTTGCTATTCCCTAATCTAATATTCAGAGCAAGAAGGTGTTTTGTTTTGTTTGTTTCTTTTCCATAGTGGGACAATAATCTACTTCCTATCAATCAAAGATTTTGAAGCAGCGCCCAATTGCCACTCAAGTTTTCAGGATTTAAACACAACCTTCAATTTTAGGCTGCAGATATTAACTTTGGTGAATTGGGCACTGAGTGCTATACAGTTTCATGCTACTGACCTTGTTCTGAAAAACATATCATCCTTTAAAACAAAACTCACCTTTTCTTTTTAGGTAGGATACAGTTTCCTTCATTACCGGGGGGATTAGTTCACCCTTATTTTTGTCCTTGATACTGTTAGAAAGAGAAAAAAAAAAAAAAGTAATGGTCTTTAAACAGTATTGAAAGAAAAGTTAAACACAAGACAGAGCAGTCTCAGGAAAAACTTGGACTGAAAGCATACATTTGCTTCCACAAATTAAGAAGCCCACACCTCGGTGCCTGCACCAACTGCAAGAGTCCTCCACAACTGCAGGAAGTGCTGAATGAGCCACTGAAAGAGACAACTGGGAGTTTCAGTCAAAAAGCCATTCCTAATTTTTTTTTTCCTGCTAGAAAGGATGTATGACCACAATGGCAATTCATAGACAGAAGTGATCTTTGCTGTGCTGAAACAGTCAAGGACAGTGGCAGAATGGCGTTCCAGGCTAACTCTGCCCCCACTTGAGGCTGGTTTTGTTCTAGTTTTGTTCCCCTCACTTGGCATGCCCCAGCTGGGCAGTGCTCAAGAGGTCATGGTGACAACAGAGCTGATTGCGTTGACTGGATTCGGTTGTATGCCCCTGGTGGAATGTGGCTTTAAGGCAGCTTAGAGGCAGATGAGGAAGGAGTTTGCAATGAATGCTTTCTAATAGTCTTGATCAAGGGATGCTGCAAGTTTAGGAGTCCTTTATCATGCAGATTTTTCTTTGTCATTTCTTTTCAAGCCACAGTGTATGTATAATTAAAAGGATATTGTACTATTTATTTTGAAGGCAGTGATTGATGCAGTGAGATTGAGGTTATTAATGCTTTGAATGATTCCCATGAAATGAGATTTCTTTCTCTTTCATGAGTGAGCAGCTGAGGCAAAAATCAAACATAGCACTTTCTTGATCTAGACAGCATGGAAAATTCCACAATTATCTTATTAAAAAAAATGAATTTAGCAGTTTTAGAAGTATAACAAAAAAGACAGTATCTGCTGAGCATTCTGCTACATTCATATAGTAATCAACAAAAAAATAAAGGACACATCTCAGATTTAAATGTAACAATTTTATGTCATATTTAAACGGTGACCAAATTTACTGACAAGCTCTAAAGCACCAGCGCAACACAACATGGAAACTGTGACTGTATAGAGTGAGGCTGCCACTTGTGCAGCTCATCTACAGAGTATGCGAGACGCTTACAGAAGATGATACACACAATGTGTTAAACATTCCTTCAACCTAGCTGAGGTTTGCACCTGTAGACAGGAAAGATTCTTACAGAGTTTTTCTTTTCAAAGCACTGTGATTTCTTTTCTTTTTGTCTAGGCTGGCTTAGTTTCTCAGCATAAAGCAACTGATACTAACTGGAATGTATTTGATAAAACTTCTGCAACATTGTTGCATGGAATGAGCAATCCAATATTCTATTTTGTGTTTACACTACACATAAAAACATAGTTTAAAATAAGTATTACAGCTACTTCGGTCAGCATGGAGGGGTAAGGAAACTGGTGAAGGAAATCTCCCCCTCCACCTTGCATTTGTTTGCCTGTGCCTATGAAGTGAGTTAGAAGAGGTCATGTAGACTGTTTGATCTAGGTTCTCCAGGCTTAGAAGGCTGCCCACCCAGCCTCACACACAGGGCTGGTGAGGGAGCTCCCCAAAAGGGAAGAGTCAGAGCAGGATCCTGCCTTAGACACACACCCACTATGTGGTTTCGCCTCTCTCATAAACTGACAGGAATATACTTCACACCATTTAGTTATTCACCCTTATAACATTTTCATCTAATTCATCACCCCAGTGACACAATGCTGAGCCATCAGTGCCATTTCTTCTAGTTACAGTTTTACTGTCCACCCAGCCCTGCTCTTCCTCTTTCCTGTCTTCACCATCCAACCTCTTTCTAGGCACTCATGTCTGTGAATGTTATCCAGATCTTCTCAGACCATATTCTTTTTCCTCTACTGTGCATATTTAGTGTGTCTCTTCCCCTGGTGCTACGTAAAACAATACAACTTGATAGGTAATTGGGATAAACTTGCTTATCCAGCTCCTACATCTTGCTTTACTACTTCAAATACCCTAGACCACCCTGCTGTTCAAAAGGAAATAAGCTTTCCCTTCAGCCACAGAACTAATGAAGTTGATCTGCTATGGATTTGTATCCTGTGTCCTATCAGTTTCCTCATGATAGTGATAGTGATAGTGATAGTTTCCTTATGTTATAAACTCACTTTCCTTCCACGGTACTTTCATTTCCTCCCCTCACCTCTTTCCCTCAGGTTTCCTCATGTTAGGAGCAACCCATAATTAATCACCATCTAAACACTAACTGGCGTATCAGTAGACCAAAGACAAAAAAAGAACCTAAATTTGTGCTATAGTTCCCCCCCTTCCAGACAGTGATTTTTAAAAGCTTGTTGAAATGTAGCATTTGTGAGAGCCCTTTCCTCTGCCAAACGTGGTTGACATATGTCTGTATCTTCCCTACGAAACCTGACTAAAAATCAATCCACTGAACTTTTTTTTTTTCCTGCTCTTCTTCAACAAAGTATCCATACCAGAACCTGAAGTGTATAAAATTCAATTCTGATGTATGTGTGTATTAATAGTATTTTGTGTAGAAGTGTTGTATCTATATGTAACAGGAACTATAGGAGAGAGGAATTTTCTGTGATGTAAGCAGACATAGGAATTTTGCTAGAAAATATACTCGTTTCACCTACCACATTCACAACATGATAATTTTAGTCATTTGACCAAATAAATTCTGTGTATGTGTGCAATGCACTTGCAGGAAGACCAACAGTAAGGACTGAGTTTAATTCAGATAATCCTAAAGTATGACCTTTTATGTATTAGTAATTCTCATCATTTGCTGCTGCTTTCAAGTATGATCTTAAGATCAAATGATACAAACTCCTGTCCTTACACACTGGCAAGGCACCATTAATTTCAATATGAAGTATTACTGGACTTGCTGGAGTAATCACTCTCTGCAATATCATAACAACATGGCAATAGCCAGAAGATTTATGACCTGACTTGTAAGTCCAAATTCACCTTTCTCATTACCACAGACATCTTGTGAGAGCTATGTTAGAGGCCAGAAGTGCTTCACGAAAAATCTGACTGACTAGAGACAGACATGGCCTGAAATGATACCAGGGCCAGGTTTATGACCTTGCCCTCAGAGGAGCATCCTCTTCCTACCCACAGGGACAATCAGGTACCTGAGTACCTGATTTTTTTTTAACCTGAGCAAAATATCTTTCCCAGTAGCATAATCCTCCTAGCCGCTTTCAGAATATGAATTCTGTTACTCCTAAAGTACTAAGTCTCTCCCTCTCCTTCCAGCTTCAGCATTACCTTCAACAAACTTCCAGCAGTTTCAAAGATGCTGGTGACACCATAGCACAGAAAGTCAGTGTTACAACCATGCAGGAGACATGCAATGCTCTCAGAACAGCTCTGAGAGCCAGGTTGTCCTCCCCTTCACCCAACATCCACCTAGACCCTTGGGAGGAAAAATTTAAAAGCAGCTTTGCTGCAGTGCCATGAGCTCTTATACCAGCCCCTGCAAAAGGAACACAGCCACATAAACACAAAATATGTGAACCACATACTATGCTCTGAAAGGTTGCTTCTGAATGGGAGTTGTTTTTTCTTGCAGCAGATCACCGTTGTCTAACAACCCTGATGCAACAAAATAGGAGAGAACAGGCAGTGACTGTGCAGCCCCACTAACAAATTAACCTTCCTAATAAACCAAAAAGCAAGGAGGTTCTAAGGGTTCTCTGCACTACATGCAAAGTTGAAATCCCCAATGAAATGACATACCCCAGACATGTATTAAACAAGAAAAAGTGTTGGGAGATTAGGTCAATTCCAAGGTCACCATCTGGGATACCAGTGAAGGAAAGGTTGCAGCAGATCAAGACAAAGACCAAAAAATATTATAGCCTTTCTCATAGGGCAGTTATGACACATTCCTTGTGTGCCAAATAATTTTATTTCATGTATTCAAGTCAGTACCTTACACTTTTAGGACAACTTTTATTAAAATTAGTTGAAAGTCTAATTCACTTAAATGAGAACATCATCAAGACTTTAATTTGTTTGGAAGCTGTTACATCTTTATTGACAATTTGAGCTCATGGAATCCATTCTCAGTCTCTCTGAAGTTGCATTGATTGTTTTTGCTTTCTTACAGCTGCTCACTCCAGAGGCACCAAATAGCAACCCAGCAGCTTTTTATACATGTTTTCTAATTATTATCGTTTCCCATAAATGTGTTTCCCCATTTCAGGGTATAAATAGCAAACTGATTATTTACAGCACTTGCACCTGCTGAGTGCTAGCTTATCTGTCAGAGAGGTGAAACAAATAACTGGGCTATAATTTGTAATAATAAAACCTACACATTATTTTTCTGTTTCTAGGAAAAGAAAACCCTAGTTTCTGCACATTTGCCACTTTCTACAGGATTCCTTTTCCTCTTGAGGAAAGGTTCTGTTCCAAGCACATGAAAGAGGACCTCAGGATAAACTGTACTTTAAAATAGAGTAGAAAGTCACATGCCAAGTTTGTTCTATTTTTCCAATACCAGAGAAAGTCTGGATGCATACTTTCACAACATTTCACAATGTGGGAGATAGTGTTCAGTTTACTGGACCTAAGGTGACAGAAAATAATAGGGACATTACCTCAGCTAATGTAAATCAGACCAGCTCAGAGGTCAATGAAATTACACCTCTATCTTCTCTTTGTGGATCCTGTCAAGTAATCTGCATTTTTCTTCTCCTGTTCAGGATGGTCAGGATGGTATGATGAGCAGCTGTGCTCTGTGATGGACTATGGAAACTGCCACTGGAGATCAGGCTGTACAACAGGCAATTTGAAATGCAAGGTCTCTTACACTTTCTATTTAAGACACATGGGCAAAACAGAGCATTTCAGTGCACAGTATAGCTTTCTGTAACTGATTCAGTTGTCTGAATCATAGTGCAACAATATGTCAGACTCAAGAGTTATCTATTTCAGTAAACACAGTAGCCAAGGAGACTGAGTATTCCTCACTATAGAAATATATGATTAGTTACTGTGACATGTTACACATCCAATGACTCATTTCTAGTCTGTGGACAGTTATCATGAAGTTATCCACACATTGTTCTGAAGTATCATTAAGTATTCTTGGTTGATAATCTCTCTATTCTCCTCCTCTCATTTTCATTTTTTCCCTGCTGAGACATGCTGAGATTCGGTTTCAAATTCATTCTTCCTCCATGGTCACGCATGCACAGCATGCACAAGAAGATTATGACCAAAAGGAAAGTACCCTGAAATATTTATGATAACAATTCAACAAGCAAAAGCTGTACAGTTGTTGCAATTTTGTGATTTTTTCTCTGCCCTCAACTAGATAGGAAATGAAAGCATTTCCTATATTCCCACAAAAGTTATTTAATTTTAGATTTTAAAACCAGTCGGAGAAAACAGAACAATGTCAACAGCTAGTCAAGGTCAACTATGTTCTGTGGTGGAGCTCAGCTGTAGCCATCCTTGATTACGGGGCAATAGGGTGCAGCAACAGGGGTTTGTAGGAGCTTGTTGAACATACAGCAGAGGACAATGATACAATTTGGCCCTCCATGGAAACTTGAGCACAACTTGGTACCAGACGTGGTACAACTTGGTTCTAGCTGCAAAGACCCTGTAACTCACAGGAGCTCACGATGATGCAGGTTTCTATTTCATGTCTCTGCCTAACAATAAACACACCTACATTACAAAGAACTACATTTAAATAAAGTAGGATTCTTTGCTGAATCACAATGTGAACACTTGGCTTGGGATAACATAAATTTCTGTCACTCAGTCCAGAACAGATCTCTGATCTCCCAAAGCCCAGTCTCATACCCTTGCTGTCTTGCTCTTCTAGGTAAGATTCAAGCATACTGTGCAGGAATACTTACCGGGTTAAGTGCATCAGTGGAGTTAATTATAATGATTTTTTTTTTTTTTTTTTTTGCTTTAAAAATAGTTATTTTAATTAAGTCTGCTCCAACACAAGATTCTGGGTCCCTTCACAGATCTGTTAACAGGCATTCGCAAAATTGGGACCACAGGCAGATGCAACTGGGAACAACTACCTAATCTGTCTTCCTTTCTGCACGTATAGCATGTGTAGCATGCACTTGATCTATGCCTAGAGAGACAGCATAGTGCATGCATTGAAGAGTAAAAACAAAGTTATGACTGTTCAGACTTCCCTCTGCACTTGAGTCTGAGCTCCCCTCATTTGAGCAACATCAGCAACAGCACCTTGATTCACAGAAAAGCTCTTTAAAACAGACAAATATTTCTGAAAATCCCTCTATAATTACATACTTTAAGTAACAGAAATACACAAAAAACTAGTATACGCATATTTTTGAAACACTGGAAAAGTCTAAAATAGCGATCTTAAGTTATGGGACACAAATAAAATGCCTGAGAGTGTGCTGCTGAATTTCATGGCTGAAATGACCAAAAATGCTTTCTGCCTGTATTCCTCATGAGTAACTGCTAACTGTGGCCCATAACCCTCCAATGTCATCACATATTCCTTCAGTGATTCCTTCAGGTATTTATAGGTTTATTTTCTTCCCCTCTGCACAAACAATCACCTTCAGGATTCAACATAAATATAATTCTGCACTTTAAAGATATAAAGTCAGCTTAGTGTTTGTTTCTTCCCCCCACATAGAGCGTAAGTTGACACTGAGGGGTTAAAGAGATCAAAAGAAGACTTAAACTCAGATTTTGGATCATAAGCAGAGAAAGGTAACATAAGAAATAAAAGTTTTGAACTAACCTGATAATACATGTAAGTCCTTCAGCTAACTCATAAATTAAACGCAATTCAGTATATATTACATTTCCGAGTATTACACTCACAGCTCTCACAGACTTTCCACGATTTTTAAATGCCTAGTTGCCTGATGTCATTTTGAAAATTCAACTCTACAAGGTTAAAAATGTCTTTGTGATTTAACCGATTAGTCCAAGATGAGACATTGGTCCCAAACAGCTATTTCTCAGTGTCTAGATGGAAACTTCCTTCAGTTTTGCTGTCCTACCAAACCAGGATTTTTTTCCCCTGCCAACTGGATGAAAATGAGAGATCTTGAACCAATGCTTAGTCAATTTTTGCTGTTCTAATTTTTTTTCAGCTATGAAATACAAATGCATTAACAAATACAAACTGAGAAAAAAGTTAAATGAGGAAGTGTTACCTAAGACAGCATTGTCTGCTGCTTTTAGGGAGAAACATTCAAAAGGATATGGGTTTACCACTTTCCATAGCCAGAAGTTATTGGGATGCCATTGTGAAATATCTGATCAAAATTAGGCCATCTATGAGGGCTTTGGATAATCTCATTCACCATCCTTTAACTGCCTGAATAAAGATCATCATCCCAGAAGTACAGAAACTGGCAAAACCTCAAACCTATGGGTCTTTATTATAAAAAAAAAAAAAAAAAAAAAAAAAGATTCCACAGAGAAATAGTCCTTTAATGACAGTAGCTTTCTCTCAGCAGCACGTAGCAGATATATTCCCAGATGAAATAGGAACCACGTAGCAGATATATTTCCATAAACCTGTACAAAATAAAATCAGGCTATCCCTGCAGCCCTCTTCAGAAAACAGAAACAACCTCACCTGTCTCTTTGGTGGGAGGTCACTGACATTTTGACATTACAGACTATAGAGATCATAAAAGTAGAAGGAATCAGCAAAAGCAGTTAATTCATCAAGATAAAAGCTAATACTATTTTTTGTTAAAAAAAAAAAGAAAACTAAAAGCTAATAAAAAACAAATTTAATACTATTTTTTTTCTCCATCAGCTTTACTCTTTTTTTTTTTTTAAAAAAAAAGCATAAGGCATTTTAAATCCAGTAAAAATCAGTTCATCTACTCATTTATAAGTTGTAGGGGATTTGTTTATTTGTAATTTCTGCATGGCGATGCAGCACTACCTCTTCTGCAAGAAGTGATCTAGACAAATGTGGGCAAACGATGATGAATATCCACAATGCTTCAGTTTTGGACATCAGAGTGCTCTGAACTCACACAAGGAGCCTCCTTAGTGAGTGGTAGAACTCTCCAGACCAAAAATGATAGTAATGCTTCTCTCAATGATCCTCCACTGACAGACCTTCCACAGAAAAGTTCTTTTTAAAGCAGCCACCCTCTATATACTTGCAAAGGTTGAGGCATGTAAGAAGGATGTGGTTTGCTGATGGTAACACAACTGGAAAGCAGCAGAGCCAGGAAGGATAGCCCCTGCACACTCATCATGTGCCACTCAGTCAAACACACTGTTCAGAGACACTGTTCAGGCACAGAGAAATAAAATACCAGTAGCAGATGGTAAGTGTGTCACACAACATGCTGTCTGATCGCATAAGCCTGTGAGAGGTTAGATAGAGCTGCTTGAGAAGCCAGGCTGGGCTGGAGGCAAGTGATAGCATGCCCTGATGCCAGACAACAGTCCCACCTTTACTACTGAAGCAGTGGCTTAAAACATTGTCCTTCTTAATGTCCCAGTGAAGCCCACCTAAAACATATTTTCTGAATTAGGAAAGTGAGTTAGTCGCATTTCAAGTGTTAGGTTAGACTCTAAAGAGGTATCATAAAAGTTAATGTCATAGTAGCTCTTACACAATAGATATTGATTGTTCTAATATCAGGCCTTCCAGAGAGGACTGATGCTTAACATTTAACCAGGGGAAAATTATATATATTTTATATCTCATTTAAAGCTGAATCATTAGAACCAAAAGAGCAGAGTTGGGGGTGGGAAGAAATCCGACAAATGTCCATGGATCAGACAAACTGAATTGTTTTTGTTGAATGCAAACAGTATTGGTCAGCCACTCTTGAGAAGGGCACCGTCACAGGGAGTAAGGCCTGCCTTGGATTCATAAAAGCTACTGCCTAGCTCTGTAGTTTTATGGCTTTCAAAGAGAACAAGAAACTAAACATATACTAAATGAAACATCTGTTGACTTTGCGACCAGTGAATTTGCACATTATAGAAGGCTGCAGGATATAGAAATCTTGTATTATATAAATCTCATGGCTTACTATTGTAGGCTGACTCCAAATTGCTGGGTAGGTAGAGGTGGTCTTGGTGGAGGAATTTTAACAACAGGTGGCAGTTTTCCCTTCTGTTTCCTCCAAAGATTTTCATCATGTCTGCAAAAATCAAGAAATCACTGATTTTCTCTGCATCACAGCTGATGACCTCTATGTACGAAGAGGTACCATTTTTGTTCATAATACTAATCTCCTGACAATAGTGTATATGCTGCAGGTCTTATAGAATTTACATTTTAATTTAATGTAAGAATTAGGGAATTTTTAAAGTATTTGCAGAAGAATCCTTAAGCAAGGCACAGAATCCTTAAGCAAGGCATGCTTCAGCCAACAGAGTGCACTAACAGATGTGTCCATATGTCCAAAAAATAGGAACGCACTACAATTTAAAGCTTATTTGCTACACAAAATATAACATCCCTCTCTTTTGCAGCCATGCAATCCAATTTATAACCTTAGAGCTGTAAGGTATTTTCTGTTATTCCCTATTTACAAAAAAGGTGTGTAAAAACACAACAGACATCAATAACTGTCACAATCAAAGCTTCCAGTTACCTTCATTCAGCAGTGACATAAAATCACTTCCTGTCAGTACATCAAAGCATTTCCATGTAAAGCATTGAGTCCTAAATACTGTTATTGATACTAATACCAGCACTTGACAATTTTGGCATGTATACCCTGTGCATGTCTTTTTCTTTCCCTCTCCATTACTCCTCCCTAACACACATACATACACAACATAAAAGTAATGGATCTGCTAACAACAGATGTATCCATAAAGTTTAAAATCAATCAACTCTTAGCTGATTGTGAATGCTCTTATCAAAAGGAAGTCACTCGATCTGTTACAATATGCAAGCAAAGACGTCAGGATTGTTATTTTTGCCCATAAACATTACAAGGTACTCACAAGCAGTAACAACATATGGATTGGTTTTGTTAACGCTCACACAGAGGCTGCAGTTATATGAAGAAAATGCTCCACAACTGAGATGTAGATATTTCAGATCTATAGAAAACTCTAAAGGGTTCTCCTCTGTAAACACGTGAAAAACTTTAGCATGTCTTTCATGACAATGCAGCTTTCAGAATTAAATCCAGCCAAGCACAGATAGGTAAATTAGACTTTGAAGAAATTTATCACTGAAGAAATATGATTAGATTCTGCTTGGAATACAATGAACATGACACAGCTCTACCTGTTAAAAGGTGAGACCAAATATTTGAAACTTGCCACTTACTGGATGACTTCTTGAGGAATATTAAGCTGGTCATATTTGAGATGTTCTCTCAGGTCACTTAAATATTTCAAGTAGATGATTTTTTTCCCAAACTTATGGCTGAAAAAAATTGCAAAGAAGTATAAAAATCAGCATGAGAGGAACATTTTTGAAGGGTTTAGTTTCCACTACAAAAATGTAAGTGCTGATGCAACTCAAAATTAGACTGTAATTGAAGCAGCAGGACACATAAGATGTATTTCATTTCATATGATCAAACATACACAGTGCATGCCCGAGAGTCTGATTTGAACAAAAATAACTGACTTCCATCTGAACATTTTGTGATTTGCATAGATATGAAAAACACTGCTTTAAAAGACACTGAAAAACAGCTTTCTTATAGCATTACAAGGCTTGCTAACAGAACTGTTAACTTCTTTTATGTGGCCAACAGACCACGTTTGTGTTATTTAGGTATTCCTCCCTACCAAAAGACAGAATAATGGCACCGTAGACAAAAACTATAAAGTAGTAATTGACGGGCAAGACTTTCAAAGAGTGGACAGTGTATACCCTTGAAGTGTTGGGCCATCTGTTTTGGAAAGGGCTGAATAGCTTCTAGGAAACAACTTGAATAAAAAGGCTCTTTTGTCAAACTGCACAAAACAGACTTTCAATTTTAAAGTACCAACTATTAGTAGTTAGGTCTTGAGTTTCAGTTACAGGTGGTCCAAAATAATTTCATATTTTTCTGCAATACAAAATATCTGTCCTGTCAAGAAAAGTAGTAGGTGTTTACGATAAAAACTGCACTTTGCTGCAAGTTACTTTGATAGCAAAACTGGAGAAAAATTCTCTCACAGTAATGAATTTGTCACTGAACTGCCAAACATATATACACACTCTCCCTCTAGTGGGAGATGGTACAAATGAAAGTTGCTTCAGAATTTTAGGAGCTTTTAATTGCAAAGTGCAAAATTTTGCTAGCAGACAAGTGATTTTGTAATCTGATAGTTATCTGTCCCTGTGTGTACAACTTCAGAGCTTTTCAGCTTGTCCTTTTTCCAAGCATTATTTTTTGGCCTGTGCTTTCAAAATTATAAGTCAGGGCTAACAAAGAATTCTCTGTGAGTGACTTAGGGACTTTTCAGAGTTTACTCATACTTTCAATTATTTTCTCATAATACTTAGTATTATTATGACATAGTAATCATGACATATGACATGTCATAATAATCATAATAATCATTATTATTATTCCCAGTGTACAAATTTCTGTTGGTCATGTGGTGTTGTTTTGGTTGGTTGGTTGCTTTAACAAGTAGAGTATTATCAGATCAGAGTCAAAACAAGTATCCAGGTATACAGTGGTAAAAGTTGAGTACAACCAAGAATACCGATGAAAGCAGGGTGTTCAGAAGGAAAAGATGATCATGCATCTAAGGTTACAAGCCCTGGTTTGAATTTTCTATGCCAGATACAAATGTTTAAGTTTATCAATATCACTCATTTTCTCATCCAAAGTAAACAGGGATTTAAATGCCAGTGTATCAATGTAACATACTGTTGTAAGAAAAAAAAAATTAATTTTATTTATCATCTTAATATCCAGAGAAAATGAATACTTGAAAAGTTAACTTTTTCTTTTCTAAGTATTATCAGCCAATTATTATTCTAGACAAATAATATATCAGTCAAAATAAATATCTACAGTAATTCTTCTTGTTTCAGGAACAACAGATTCCAGAATGATTTCAAGCTTTAATTATTTTTTTTTATTTTCACACACTTCTTGCATGTTCTGTTCAGTCTAGAATTTAGATTTCCCCCTTACAATTAAATAACTTGCTGCTATAACAGACATTAGTTGTTCATTCGTTATGGTTTTCTCGAGATACGTTGCTTTATTCCTTTAACCCTGAGGACATTCATAATATATTTTGCAAAATGTTAGAATGTGAAAGTGATAGAAGTTCAGGAGCAAAATATTAAGAAATCCCGACCAACTTAGCCTTTATCAGTATCCGTTCATTGATGTGGGTTCCATGTAGCTACTACCATCAGTTTCTACTACACAAAGAAAAAGAATCTACCAGTAAAATACATTCAACATTATACCCTCCATCTCAAATTCTTATGGGTACTTCAGGGCTTATCTATTAACTCTGAACACACGAGTAGCATCAATCCTATTCATCCCAGCATTTGAGATCAGATCAAAGGTTAAGCATTCATTATCTGCTTCACCATACAATCCAGTAACTCCAGTCAGGGACCCAGTTCTCTTGTGCTAAGTACTGTTAAACGGGACAAAAAAGTCATTCATGGGCCACAGAATAATTACATTTTAAAGTGGTGTTTAATTTAACATACCACTAAGCCTTTTCTTAGATAGAAAAAACCCTCTACCCTATTATTCATAACCAACTCATCTTACACAGTAGGTCAAAGCAATTTAAATCATAGAATCATAGAATCATAGAATCATAGAATATCCTGAGTTGGAAGGGACCCTTAAGGATCATCAAGTCCAACTCTTGGCACTGCACAGGTCTACCCAGAAGTTCAGACCATGTGACTAAGTGCACAGTCCAATCTCTTCTTAAATTCAGACAGGCTCGGTGCAGTGACCACTTCCCTGGGGAGCCTGTTCCAGTGTGCAACCACCCTCTCTGTGAAGAACCCCCTCCTGATGTCAAGCCTAAACTTCCCCTGCCTCAGCTTAACCCCGTTCCCGCGGGTCCTGTCGCTGGTGTTAATGGAGAAAAGGTCTCCTGCCTCTCGACACCCCCTTACGAGGAAGTTGTAGACTGCGATGAGGTCTCCCCTCAGCCTCCTCTTCTCCAGGCTGAACAGGCCCAGTGCCCTCAGCCGTTCCTCGTACGTCTTCCCCTCCAGGCCTTTCACCATCTTCGTAGCCCTCCTCTGGACACTCTCCAACAGTTTCATGTCCTTTTTATACTGTGGTGCCCAGAACTGCACACAGTACTCGAGGTGAGGCCGCACCAGCGCAGAGTAGAGCGGGACAATCACCTCTCTCGACCTACTAGCGATGCCGTGCTTGATGCACCCCAGGACACGGTTGGCCCTCCTGGCTGCCAGGGCACACTGCTGGCTCATATTCAACTTGCTGTCTACAAGGACCCCCAGATCCCTCTCTTCTAGGCTGCTCTCCAGCGTCTCATCGCCCAGTCTGTACGTGCAGCCAGGGTTTCCCCGTCCCAGGTGCAGGACCCGGCACTTGCTCTTATTGAACTTCATGCGGTTGGTGATCGCCCAGCTCTCCAACCTATCCAGATCCCTCTGCAAGGCCTTTCCACCCTCATTCGAGTCCACAACTCCTCCAAGTTTGGTGTCATCAGCAAACTTGTTCAAAATACCTTCTATTCCTACATCCAGATCGTTTATAAAAATATTGAAAAGTACCGGCCCTAAAATGGAGCCTTGAGGGACCCCACTGGTGACCGCCCGCCAGCCTGACGCAGCCCCATTCACCATAACCCTTTGGGCCCTGCCCGTTAGCCAATTGCTCACCCATCGTATGATGTTTTTATTTAGCTGTATGGTGGACATTTTGTCCAGTAGGATCCTATGGGAAACCGTGTCAAAAGCCTTACTGAAGTCCAAAAAAATCACATCAGCTGGTTTCCCTTGGTCCACCATACGGGTGATCTTATCATAAAAGGAAATCAGGTTAGTTAGGCAGGACCTACCCTTCACAAACCCATGCTGGCTGGGACCAGTGACTGCCTTGTCCCCCAGGTGCGCCTCAATAAGTTCGAGAACCATCTTCTCCATGATTTTACCAGGCACTGACGTGAGACTGACAGGCCTGTAATTGCTAGGGTCTTCTTTCTGACCCTTCTTGAAAATCGGCACAACATTTGCCAGCTTCCAGTCTACCGGGACCTCTCCAGACTCCCAGGATCGTTGAAAAATAATTGAGAGAGGTTCCGCGATGACGTCCGCCAGCTCTTTCAGCACCCGGGGATGAATCCCATCCGGACCCATGGACTTGTAGGGATCCAGGTGGAGTAGCAAATCCCGCACACGTTCAGGGTCGGATGGGAGTTTGTCATCCCCACCGTCCCGGTCCTCCAGCTCAGGGCACCCTGGGTCCCGAAGCCCATCATCAGCATTGAAGACAGAGGCAAAGAAGGCGTTAAGCGTCTCTGCTTTGCCTATGTCATTGTCTGTGAGGAGACCTTCCCTATCAAGGAGCGGCCCTATGTATTCTTTAGTTCTCCTTTTTCCATTCACATATCTAAAAAAACCCTTTTTATTTTCTCTCACAGACACAGCCAGCTTCAGCTCTAGGTGTGCTTTGGCCACACGAATTTTCTTCCTACAAACACGAACAGCATCCCTGTATTCTTTCCATGTCACCTGGCCCTCCTTCCAGTAGCGAAACACTCTCTGTTTCCGCCTAATCTCCATAAGAATGTTCCTGGTCAGCCACGCCGGCCTCCTGCCGCGCCTGCCTGACTTGCGATATTTAGGAACTGCCTGTTCTTGTGCTTCTAGGAGGCATCGCTTAAAGAATGACCAGCACTGGTGGACATCGAGGCCTTCAAGAGCAGCTTCCCAGGGGACCTTGCTGACTAGTTCCCTGAGCAGCCTGAAGTCCGCCTTCCCCATATCTAGGGATGAGGTTTTGGTGGCACTTTTCCTTCTGTCACCGTAAATTTTGAACTCAACCACTTCATGGTCACTATGACCGAGGCAGCCACCAATCACCACATCTCCCACCAGACCCTCTCTGTTTTCTAGCAACAGGTCTAGGAGGGCACCTTTCCTAGTTGGCTCCGTTAGCACCTGCACCAAGAAGTTATCATCTAGGTGCTTCATGAACCTCCTGGACTTGCTCGTGTCAGCCGTGTGGCACTCCCAGTTAACGTCTGGCAGGTTGAAGTCCCCCATAAAGACAAGGGGAGTTAATCTCGAGGCCTCTCTTAGTTCTGTAAAGAATAATTTATCGGTGCTATCATCCTGGCCAGGCGGTCTGTAATAGACTCCCACAACGACATCCCCTTTATTCGTTCGTCCCTTGATCCTTACCCAGAGGCTCTCAACTTTGCCATCGCCGACCTGAAGTTCCACACAGTCCAGCCCCTGCTTCACATACATCGCCACCCCACCACCTCGCCTACCCTGCCTGTCCCTCCTGAAGAGCCTGTAACCATCTATCGCAACACCCCAGTCACAGGACTCATCCCACCAGGTTTCGCTTATGCCGATGATGTCGTAGTTGCGGGACTAGGCCAGGACTTCTAGCTCATCCATTTTATTCCTCATACTGTGTGCGTTCGTGTAGAAGCATTTCAGGTGCGTCTCCTTACACTCAGCACCTTGTGGATCTAACCGAAGGACCTCACTGGCACACATCCCCTCTGATTCTAGCGTACCATCCCTTAGGTCTTCACCGGCGTGCCTGGTTTTAGCCCCTTCCCCCTTCGACTCTAGTTTAAAGCCCTATCTATCAGCCCTGCCAACTCCTGACCAAAGATCCTTACCCCTCTCTGAGAGAGGCGCATCCCATCCGGTGCCATCAGGCCCTGTGTAGCATAGACCTTCTGTGATCAAAGAACCCAAAGTTCTGCCGGTCACACCAGTCTCGAAGCCACGAGTTTATGTGAACAGCAATGGGGTGTTGTGCTGTTACCTGTTATATATGGAGTGGTAATTCGTGTCGAGAAAATGGTTGATATTAATAAAGAAGGAGGATATTTGGGAGTGTGGCCATGGGGGTCAGAAAGCCCCGTGGTTCATGATAACATTAGACTCTTAACGATGAGGTCATCAGGAATGTAAAAGAGTTTAGAGGGAACAAAGAAGGGTGATTCAGGAGACTCAGTGCAGTCTGCAGTCTTGGGTTGCTTGTTCTCCAGCCATTAAGGCATGGATGTTTCTGGGTGTTTGCTGTTGTTATATTCAAAGTTGTTTGGCCAATGGAAAGTTGTTTTGAAAAGAACTGCTGTGGGGAGAAGGGTATAAGAGGGGAGCCTGTCCTCAAGATAAAAAAGGAAGGCAACATGATGTGATGAAGTTATGATCAATAAAGAAGCAGGAAAAAGAAGTGAAGAAGAACAGGCTGTCAGAAAGGAGACCAGAACAGGAACAGGCACATTGATCGCCTCATGAAGATAGGTTCGGCCAGACTCAGCAAATTGCTCAGAGAAGCTCGTACTGAAAGTCACTGGAAATAGGTGCACTGGAGCTGGAGAGAAGCTCGAGCTGAGAGAAGTGGACCCGTGCACACAACTGCCTCTCAGTGGTAAGCAGTTCTGCATTATGGGGAATCATACGTCCTTAGGAACAAAGACTGTCCTGGTAACCTTACAGCTTATTCTCCTTATTAACAATCAGACACTTTATGATCCTGAAATATGGGACCAAACTGAGGTCAAGGTGTGGGACTCTGCAACTAAAAACGACAAGGTTGCAGTGGGATTGCAATCTCTGTGGCGAGCAATCTCTGAGGCCTTAAAGAGCCATGTGGGGCCACAATCACAAACGTGTGGCTTTTCAGACAGTGAGGGAGCTGTGGGCTCCTTTACTGATCCAACTGCTATGCCATGGGCGCCTCTGCTGCTACAGCCATCGAAGGCTTTTGCTGTTACGCCCCCTGCTGACCTGGACGTGCCTTTTGACCCAGGCCCTATTGCCTTGAAAAGGAGATGGATACGTTTTTCTTCAATCTGGGAAGAACGGGATATATAAGGCCCGAAGACCGAGTTGCTTGACAACTTAAAGCGAGACATATTGTTCAAAGGGAATGGAAAATGGAGACTTGTAAGTAATCTAGAAAAGGCGTGGAAAGTGGAGACTGTTAAGTCATGGAACTTAAAGGATTGTTTGTTACCTTTTCTGATTGTACATATGTATAGGCATACTCGGGTTTAGTATGTCAAGCAATGTTCTATATATTTAGAATGTTTGATGTTTGTGTGTGTGTGTTGGTGGAGCGTAGACTCCCTGCACACCCAGCGCTGTTTACTTGTCTTTTAAACCTTTTATAGCTTTCATACCTTTTATAAGTATTACTAAATTCAGATTGAGGTGAGACTTCATTTATAACATACCTGACATATTTTACTTTAAGCTTTTTAAGAGCAAAATATTAGAGAACAAATCATCCTTAAATAAACAGGAAAATGTGTTGAATAAAATGCGAAGTACCTTGTAAGAGGTTTAAAAATATTCCACAGAATTTTTATGAAGTTGGTTGGATGTACAACATACAGTGCTTTAAGGTTTTTCTTATACCTAGTAGAAGAAAATGAAATTGTTAGAATATTTTTCAATATCACAGACTGTAGAACTGAATAGATACAACTGAATGAAAGCTATTATTACAGCAAGTTTCCATTGGAGTTTCATACTAGAGAAATTTTCTAAATTTTCAGACGTAAAATCTACACCTAAGCTTTTTCTTTCTTACTACTTTTGTCTTATCTTTGGTCGTTATTACCAAAGTTGACACCAATTACACATTGTTTTATATCAGATGGTCCCCTTCATTTAAAACAAAAGCCTTTATTACAGCATTGCCCGATTTTACAGTGTTATATCATGGTACTCAACAGATTCTAGTAGGCTGAAACTGAAATGGAAACCAGGCTGCACAAAAAGGCTCTGATTTTATTCAATCTTACTGCAAAATGAGATTGACAAAACACATAATCAAATACCCTGCTTTTCTATATAAACTGTTTCTTAGAAATTGCAAGTTTTCTTCCCAGTAGGGAAGCCTCTCTGGTGTTCACCATTCATTGCTAGAAAAAAGAATCTTTAACTATTAAGAAAAATCTTCATGTAACAGGTTATGGTAAGAGGAAAAAAGGGTTCAACTCAGCAGTTACAACAGTTTTTCCTTTTGGGTTTTAACTGGACCCGTACATCTTTGAATAAAAATAGCATTGTTTTTACAAAGCCAGTATCACACACAAGCAAGAACTACCCTCCTGTGCAACAGACACCACTGTGGATAAGAACTCAAAATCAATGATAAAAACTAACAAGCAGAGCAGCTGAGGTGTTTTACTGATGTTTATATTTTAAGTCTTTTTTGCATCTTGAAGCAGTGGTCATAAGCCATTACTTCTATTGAAATTTACATACTTCACATTTTCCTGAGCTGCAATTAAATGCCCAAAAGACTTAGTGAGCCTCTGCTTAAAAACAAGACCCATTCTTTTGAAACTATTCCAGTTAAGCATTTACTTTCATGATGCTAGCTAATTACTATCTTCCTTTGTACTCTTTTTTTCTTTCTTTCATTTGATCCCCAAAACACATGCATGCAAGAATCTGAAAGGTGCTTTCTCCACATCCCCCCCCCATCTGGCTAGTATAGCTGAACATTTATGTTGTGCTGTAAATACCTCTGTGAGCTTCTCAATGACAGTATGCTAAGAACTTCATTCTGTATAAAGTGAGTGAGTGTAAAGTTGACTGTAACGTTGTCTGCTTTTTCCCAGCTACCTGTCTTTATCTGTTCCTCTGGTTCTCCTGCTTTCAGGGTTGGGATGGGAGAACAGAGAAAACAGATTTCGGGCTTAACCCAGTCACACTGTACACCAGAGGTATTCACAGGTCAGAAGGCAGCAAAACTGAAGAAGATATTGCCCCACATTATGCCTCTCCCCATAGCGCTGCTGTAAATTAGTTTGGGTTTGTCTTATAAGAAAAAGAAAACAATAGGGTAGGCTTCCAATTCCTTACAGTGATTTATTTTCAAGAACTGTCAGAGTACAACAAAAACCAGTATTGTAGTCCAAGCCTTTCACCAAATATAAAATACAGGATGTTATATATGGAGTGGTAATTCGTGTCGAGAAAATGGTTGATATTAATAAAAAAGGAGGATATTTCGGAGTGTGGCCATGGGGGTCAGAAAGCCCCGTGGTTCATGATAACATTAGACTCTTAACGATGAGGTCATCAGGAATGTAAAAGAGTTTAGAGGGAACAAAGAAGGGTGATTCAGGAGACTCCATGCAATTTGGGGTTTCTTGTTCTCCAGCCATTAAGGCATGGAAGTTTCTGGGTGTTTGCTGTTGCTGTTACATGCAAAGTTGTTTGACAAGGAAAATTTGTTTTTGAAAATGACTGCTGTGGGCAGAAGAGTTTAAAAGGGGAGCCTGTCCTCAAGTTTAAAAAAAAAAAAAAAAAAGACAACACAATAAATTTATGTCATCAATAAAGAAGCAGAAAGAAGGAATGAAAAAGAACAGGCTAGCAGAGACCAGGACGGGAACAGGCACATTGATCGCCTCATGAAGATCGGTACGGCCAAACTCAGCACACCGCTCAGAGAAGCTCGTACTGAAAGTCACTGGAAATGGGTGCACCGGAGCTGGAGAGAAGCTCAAACTGAGAGAAGCGGACCTGCGCACACAACTGCCTCTTGCTGGTAAGCAGCTGCGCGTTATGGGGAATCATATGTCCTTAGAAACAAAGACTGTCCTGGTAACCTTACAGCTTATTCTCCTTATTAACAATCAGACACTTTATGATCCTGAAATATGGGACCAAACTGAGGTCAAGGTGTGGGACTCTGCAACTAAAAACGACAAGGTTGCAGTGGGATTGCAATCTCTGTGGCGAGCAATCTCTGAGGCCTTAAAGAGCCATGTGGGGCCACAATCACAAACGTGTGGCTTTTCAGACAGTGAGGGAGCTGTGGGCTCCTTTACTGATCCAACTGCTATGCCATGGGCGCCTCTGCTGCTACAGCCATCGAAGGCTTTTGCTGTTACGCCCCCTGCTGACCTGGACGTGCCTTTTGACCCAGGCCTCTTGGCCTTGAAAAGGAGATGGATATGCTTTTCTTCAATCTGGGAAGAACGGGATACATAAGGCCCGAAGACCGAGTTGCTTGACAACTTAAAGCAAGACATATTGTTCAAAAGGAATGGAAAATGGAGACTTGTTAGTAACCAAGAAAAGGAATGGAAAATGGAGACTGTTAAGTCATGGAACTTAAAGGATTGTTTGTTACCTTTTCTGATTGTACATATGTATAGGCATACTCGGGTTTAGTATGTCAAGCAATGTTCTATATATTTAGAATGTTTGATGTTTGTGTGTGTGTGTTGGTGGAGTGTAGACTCCCCGCACACCCAGCGCTGTTTACTTGCCTTTTAAACCTTTTATAGCTTTCATACCTTTTGTAAGTATTACTAAATTCAGATTGAGGTGAGACTTCATTTATAACAAGGAGATCCCTTGCCTTTATTCTCCCTTACCCTATTTATAGAAGCAATAGATGCATTCTAGTAAACATACTCAGAAACCTAGAAAAAAAATAAGCTTTTCTGGTCTGTTGCTGAGCCAAGAGCAGTCTCTCATGAAAGCAGTTAGGTGCTTCAGATGATACCTTCCCACTGCAGATCTATGCACAACCGCATTTTCTTGCATAGTGGATTTTAGAGTTTCAGAATGCTACTAAGATTCAAAAGACTGAGCTCTGGCACTAGACAACCAAATATTTTTGTACACATCTTGATTAAGGAGGTATTGGGGAGGCATTGGGGAGGCAAGGACAATCCCCAGACATGGACTGTATATCTCGAAACAAGACACTGGAACCCATGATAAGGAAGCGGCAGACGGACAGAGAAACAAATGTAAGGACTATACATCTCAAAATTGGACATTGGAATTCATTATAAAGATACAACAAACGGAAGAATTGGCAACAACCAGCTCTCGCAATTAAGAAACGTGCCAATTCAGCAGATTCCTGACCAAAGGTGAAAAGTACACTGTGAGGAAGACTCGGGGTCTTCCTCCCAAAGACCCCTGCCCACGTCCCAAAGACCCCTGCCCACAATTCTTGGGAGGCTCTACGCAGGCGCAAGGTGCCAAAAGGCTAATTAGCATGAGAAGCGAGGGAAGGCGGGGATAGGTAATGCATATGTATAGGCGCTTGTAGAATATTGATAGATTGATTGTATAAATTCAAGACTGCTTTCCGCTTTGGGTATGCACGATAGGTGGAGAGATCCCCCGTGCATCCAGCGCTGCAATAAAGAATATACCACTTAAAGGAATTTCGGCTTCGATCTTTGAATCAATCTCAACTTCCATTTTTAAAGCAGGGTGGTGTGCAGTGTGAAATGCTCATGTATTTACATTCCAGCTTAGTCTAGAAACACCCAATAATTTTTTTTCACAGTGTCTTTTTGGAGATTTACTTCTTGCTCCAGCTCCCAAATCAAAAAAAAATCAGACACGTACAAACATCTCCCCAGTACACACACAGTTGTACACTTCCACTACCAGCAAAGAGCCACTTATGTATGTTCTTGCTTCCAGTCTTGTTGCTCTCTTGAAGTCAACTTACAAAACCAAGTAAAACAAGTAACAACTTGCAAACAAGTAAAAGCCTAACTCATTTCAATAGGAACTTACAGTTCCATTGATAAGTACTCATTTTCAGAGAATAAACATCAGATATTTAGTTTTCACTTCTGAAATGCTATATATAGAGAAGCTTTCGCGTAGACCACACCACATCCAACCCCCTCAAAAAGAAGTCATCAGCAGTAGCCATTGTTGCTCCAAGGGACAGGCATATACAAAGCACAGGGGTCACTTCAGGCTTTACATATAACAATGAATGCCACAAGTGCTGTGTGAAATGATCTGTTAGAAACTAATCTCTCTCTTTTCATATAGATCCTAGCCTTAAGATGATTAAAGGTTCACACACAACTGTGAGATAACAGAGAATGATGGCTAATGGAGTGCCACAGGCTTCTTGTTAAATAGTGCACATAAAGGCAGCACCTCTCAGTTCTTGTTCCCAAGGCTTTTCATATATTTGTATAACCATTCCAACACCTAGGACATTTGTTAGTACTTTACAGAAGACATTTATAAGAGAACCAACAGACTGAGATAATTACAAAAATTTGCAACGGCAAAATAAACTCAACAGCTAGCTGCGGGTGTATTGGGATAAATATGCTTCCTTCACAGAAGTTAGCTACAGACATTACAAAAACAAATGAGTAAACCAAATATTTTGGAGACATACTTCCTGTCAAATTCTTTGTAGGCAGTTTGTAACCATTTCAAAGATGGTTTATTCAGACTCTTCAAGCCATAGTGAAAGTAGACAACCATATAATCATTCTCTACATAGTGGTCCAGAGTATACTTCAAGTACCTGAGAAGAAAGAGAACATTTTAGTTTTGAGACAGTTTACTGGATGGGATTCTTAACCGAGAAATAAATGTGCTCTGAACACTCATGACTGCAGATTCATGCTTGCTTCAATGTATTTATCAAACAAGTTCGTCTTGCTTTAGTGACAGTGTTGTCAATAATTCCACCTCAGTACAAAGCATGAAATTTAAAAGAACGTGGTGGTGTTCACAAATCACTAAAAGATGAAGAAGACAATATGGGACTATGCTTTCCAAGAAATATTTTAAAGGATGCATTTTAACTGACGGTGACTTCTATTTTTGCTGTTTTTCTGGTCTTTGTATTAGCCAAGTTTTACTTTTTAAAATAATAAGTCTTCTTTTTTTCCTCTCAATTTAAACCATTTTAAATTATCAAAAAAAAAAAAAATCCATTAACCCTAATTACTGCTAATTACAACTGGTTACAGTAAACTGTTTTCTTGAATACGTTTGCCTTTCCCCTGTTTGTGATATAGGGACTACATTCATAGATGATTTCCTTTAAAACTAATTTAAAGAACTACACTACTTATCCCATCTTGAAATAATACTGCATGTTTTATAAGAAGATTTCTGTACATTGATTCTTTTATGGTATAGCGTAAGATGCTTTTGTCTTCCCTTTCTCCTACAATCGAAAACAATGTATCGTCTATTACACAGCTCAATGATTCAAATAAAGCAATGATGGAGGAATGCAATCTGGCCTCATTTCTTGCTGTGTCAGATTTGAACTTTCTCAAGTCATTCTCAATGCTATCTTATTATTCTGCAACAGAGCCCCAGCTATTGTTCTTAATTGCAAATAAGCCTTTTTCATTCAACAAAATATAGTTTCCTGTGACATTTATCAGGCTGTGGCTATTGCAAGTATGAAGGACACTGAATATTCACCTATGCGAAAGCAGGTAACTCCACTGCTACACTGCACTCCCACAGTCTTACTGATCTACTTACTCGGCCATCATACCGTAAATCTTAAGATTGAGAATAGTCTGGGACAAGGAATGCCACTTCAATTAATATAGTGCTGTTTTGATCCCTGACTTGAGTATTAAATAGTATTTTAATGGAAGTAGTGGTAACAGTTATTCAAGACATGGAAAAAAAATAGTCTGAAAAGAGTCTAAAATCAAAATATACCTAAACAGATACTCTTACATAAAGAGAGCCTCATGCTTTATTTTATAGTATGCAAATTCCTTGCCACATTGCATACAGAAAACCTGTACTTCTAAAAATAATCGAGAGCTTTGTGGGCATAAAATAAACAATGTTTCTGTACAATTAACTGTTCCATGGTTGTAACAGAATTGGAGGGACGTTATAAAAGCTTTACCAAATCAATTATCTAAGTGATTTAATCACAAAACACCTGCCAAATTGGTTCTACTCCACAGTTTCTTCCTCAACATTCAACATCTTAGTCTAACTACTACCAAGTGATCTACTCTAACACAGATCACTTGATAGTTATATTGGCAGCTTCACATTCAGACATTTTCCTTCAGCTCTCTCTCTTAGCACAGACTTTCAAAGTGAATTTGATGTAGGCTCAGGTACAAAAAACATTTAAGTGTTCAAGTCCAGGAGAGTCGTAGGGCTGGAAATCTTAGTTTCAAGGTGCCTCCCTGAAGAACTGAGGAAGGTTCTTAGATCTGATGATGTGGTTTGTCACACTCCTTTCTTTGGCATTTCCTATTAATCTGTGCAGGTAACTCCTCTAGGTTAGGTGCTGACTGGTGGGGCTCTTATTCCTAGGTGCTAACGCTCACCAAGTGTTACACAGCAAGTTTTGGCTTAAGGCTGTGGAGATATGCTAGGTGTGATGAGCACACAAATGAAGCAATATGGTCTCAAACACTCCTCTCTGCTTCTCAAAAGTTGAGATAAGAACATTTCTGTCCTTTACAAGGGTGATGGGTACTGATGGTTGAAAGGTGCTCAAACATTTTGGTAATGGTGGCTGTACAAGAACTCCAAAAAGTTTTAAAATACTTAATAAGAACAAGCATTTCATGGCAGAATAGATCTCATTGCAATGATGGACGGTGAGTCCCAGCAGAAACATGTCCTTGCTGCAGCAAGTTTATAAGGAAGAATGTTGTGATTTTATAGTTATATCCTCTTTTAAACAAAAAGAATATTACAAAGTGAGACATAAGAGAGTTAAGTATTATAATATTGTACTTAATGCAGGCCATTTTATACAAAGAGGAAAAACACTAACACGTAAATAACAAAAACTTCTTGTTAAGTGATTTAGGAGCTGAAGTATAGCCAATTAAGGAAAACCTTGCTATTCGTAAGAACATATATACTGAGCATTAAAATACTAGAATTCCTCCTCTCTTACTGGTCCTCATCATAAATTCCATTTTAAAATACTATCAGAATTCATTAATAAAATTATGACACCAAGTTAATTTCAGTACATAGTGCATTGCTTCTGCTAGTCAATATTCCAGGTGAAGTAACTGACAGTTTCATCCACATTTCATTGACTTAGTATTAACACTAGTAGGTTGTGCATTCTTTTTTCTTTTCACTCTCTAACTCCTGCTTCTCTGCCCTGAAAGCTCATTCATCTGGAAACAAGCTAGTAGAAGTTCACATATAAAATGTAAAGTAGTCCACACAGAAGATTGAGAGAAACTTACTCCAGCAATCTGGTGTGATTGAGCTGGTGGGAAGGGGGCATACGGCAGCAACTGAAGGTAATCACCTTCCTTCCAAAATTGTCATCACCTAGTGAACAAAACAGTTAGTAAAGATAACACTCACTCACTTATGCAGTGAGACATCAGTGATCTGAGGGAAAGGCTTGTACCTTCTCATACTGGGAATATGAAATACCTTTGTATTTCTCAGGTCTACTCAACACCCTGTGAAACTCCACAATCAAATAGTGTCGCCTACAGAAATCCGCTTGGCCACCACTTTAGTGAAATGAAGCAGCTGCTGGGCAACTGAGGCAACTAAGCTGAGAAAGTCACATTCAAAGGGTGGCTGGTAGTACGCAGCTCCTGAAAGAGAACAGTTAAGTCCTCTCACAGAATTCAGGAATGGAAAAAAACAAGCTGGCTTTCTGTAGTAGTCTTAGAAGTGACATTTTTAAAGTCTTCATGCCTTAATTCTGGAATTTATAAAAATACTGTTCTGCTACACACACTTTTGGCATCTGCTTTGTAGAACATTGAAGTCGATATTTTAACCAAATTAAGCTTTCTTAGATACTTTTCCAAAAGCACTGCTACATTCAGATCCATGAAGATCAATAAGACTCTATCCTTTAGCCCCTCTGGCAAAGCATGTATTGTTGCACTCAAGTTCTGCTGTCTGGAAATCCAGACTCAGAAGTAAAGCAATGATCATACTGAAGGTAACTGCACTGAATATTGTGAGGTATTAAGATTTTAACATATATCTATATGAAAGATATCAATTCTATTAAAATAATTCAGGAATATCAGAAAGTCATAGAATGGCTTCAGTTGGAAGGGACTTTAAATATCATCTAGTTTAAAACTATTTCCCCTTGTCCTATCATTATCTGAGCAAGCAAAATGTTGCTCTCCATCTTTTTTATAAGACTCCTCTAAGTATTGAAAAGTTGCAATAAGGTCATCCTGGAACCTTTTCTTTTTCAGGCTGAATAGCCCCAGCTCTCTCAGCCTTTCTTCCATAGGAGAGGTGCTCCAGCCCTCTGATCAACTTCATGGCCCTGCTCTGGACCCACTCCAGCAGGCCCACATCCTTATGGTGCTGGGGACCCTAGAGCTGGCTGTGGCACTCCAAGTTGGGCCTCACAAGGCAGAGCAGAGGGGGACAATCCCCTCCCTTGACCTGCTGCTGGCCATGCTTCTGTTGATGCAGCCCAGGATGCAGTTGGTCTTCTGGGCTGCAAGCGCGCAGTGCTGGCTCATGCCGAGCTTTTGGTCCATCTGAACCCCCAAGCCCTCTCCACAGGGCTGCTCTCTTCTCCCAGGCTGTCCTCATGTCTGGGATTGCCCCGACCCAGGTGCAGCACCTTGTACTTGGCCTTGCTGACTCTCCTTAGGCTCAGGTGGGCCCACTTCCCAAGCTTGTCCAGCTCTCTGGATGGCATCCCTTCCTTCTCTTGTACTGACCACACCACTCAGCTTGGTGTCACCTGCAAACTTTCTGAGGGTGCACCCAATGCCACTGCCTATGTCATTAATAAAAATATTAAATAGAACTGGTCTCAGTACAGACCCCTGAGGGACACCACTTGTCACCAGCCTCTACTTGGAAGTGGAGTCATTGACCACCACTCTCTGGGTGCAGCATTCAAGCCAAATCCTTATACACTGAATGGTCCTCCCTTCAGTGGACCAGGATGTTTCAACTGAATTAATATTGGAGACATTATTGGTGTAATTTCAATATCCAAAATAAGCTATATTTAATCCTCGCTTCTATTTCCATTAAAACATTGAAGTTTGGCTTTGACATCAGTACAATAAAGTTAATAATTTGCCTTTTTTAAGATATTCTTTATAATTGTTGTTCTCCTTCCTCCTCTAATTATGTATGTAGCTGGAATGAATAAGCAAGAAGTAAAATGGGGCAAGTTAACTCTATAGCATAGTAACTTAATGAATTAAAAAAAAATCTTGCATTTCTTTGACAACTGGATAGAAAAGCTTCACCTGTCCTAGTCTGTATTACAGATGTTAATTCAAATTACATGATCTGAATGAACAGACTATTTCCCAGCTTTGAAAACACACACAGTTTCCATGAAAACCCACCACTGACAGTAATATGCATCCCAGAGGTCACAATAGGACAGTTTTTTTTTATTTTTATTATTTATTTTGTATTATTATTTCTTCTTAAAGCAATTCTGTTTTAGGTGTGGGAGGAGAAAAGGGATGGAAGGGACGAGATTAACTCTTAATGACTTTTCACTTATGAATGCCAACTGGTAGACATCTTCTGCATTATAATTTCCAAGCCTGAGTTATCACCAGAAACCATACCCATATCCCTTCCATTGACTTGTCAAGCTCCATCTTGAATACCAGTGAGGTTTTTCTGGTTCTTGCTCATGCTGCTCAATGCTTTGACAACATGGAGCCTTTCTTTCCCAATTTTAATCTAAAAGTCATAGCAAGTTTGAACAAATTTGTTTGTGGGACAATGACATGACTTGGGTGAAACAGCTCTTCTCCAGTATTGTTTAACATCCTGAAGGAAGATCTAGGCAAGAATCACATCCCCCCTCAGCGTGCATTTTACTGTTTGCAAACAAGTTAGATCTCTGTCTTTTAAGAGTCTCCTTTCTCTGATCTAGCTATTTTCTACAGTCTTGAATTCATCTTTCCTAAACATGGGGACATTAGCTTCTCAAGGTGAAGAGTTAGGTAGGTATCAGGTGAAGAGTTAGGTAATAAATTGTAGATGAACATCACACACACAACTTAAAAGATTTTCTAATAATATCAACATCATCTTTACTGAAAACCAAGATGAAGTATTAATTTGAAAGCTATACCTGGATTATCTCTGATGTCCACTCCACTCCCATTTCACAGATCATTTTTCTCCTTTTTCTCTCTTTGTAAAACCAAAGAAACTTTTGCTATTTGCTCTAACATCCCTTAAAGATCTAACTCAGCTTTTGTTTTGGCAATCAACAGTTTAGTCCTGTAGTTTTGACTTCCACAACATAGTTTTCTCTGCTGGATGATGAGTTTCTCCTGTTCTTTTTAGGCTGGCTGCTTATTTTTATTTTCTTTCTTGAAGGTGCTTTTTCATCCCCCATGGTCCAGTGCCCCATTCCACATTAATGATAAATTCTGACTCCTGTGTTAAATAAGGTGCTTAAGCACCACTCAAGGAAAGATATGCATAACAACACAATTATATGTACTCAGGTACACGTACATATTGCTCTTAAATAGGCCATAATTTTATTTCCTGAAGTTATATTTAAGTGTCTTATTTGATATTCTCAGAGTACTTATAAAGGCATTATAATGTGATAAGCATTAATATAAATGATGTACTTAAATTAAATTAAAACATTAATAAAAGATTGTTCTCTAAATCATGACTTGTTTGTGGAAAAACTGCTGTGTTACAGTACACTGTGGAATATTTTATTTGTTAGAGACAACCATTTTTATGAGCAAAATAAATCTAAAAAATGATTCCAGTTAAATTACAAAGTGAGTCACTAATTGTTACCGTTGGTTGCATTCAACTGTCTGATTTAAAAGGCAGAAAAAAACACCTACCTTTATAAAAGAGTGCAAGCAGATACACTTAGAACATATACAAACACCGTTCCCTAGTTTCAGTGATGGGAAAATTAAGCCAGAGTAGCTTTGTCAAAACTACCAGCAGAGCAGAGAACAGAATCTTGGTTTCCCATCACATAGAGCCATCGGGGCAACAACCACAAAGCTGAAACACTGACTGAGAACTTCAACTTGACTAAAAACTAAATTAAGCAGTGCCAGGTTCCCACTACTGATGACAGATAATGAAGGGAAAGAGATGGCTATTTTTGCGTAGGCATCAATAATGCTTTGAAAAACATATTTTTTTAAAAAGACACATGAAGCGTTGATGCAAAGCCAAGCAGATCTCCCTTGCCCTCCACCAGAAGGGCTGTGACCAAGCACCCTACAAAATTCCTGTCGCTTTAGAGTGTTTGCTTCTCAGTTTAAAACAGTTTGAAGCCCAAGACTTTGGAGATACAACTTTCACCCAACCATGTGAAACTGCAGTTTGAAGGGTAAAGTGGGGAACAGCAGTCATAATTAACAGAGCGCAGTTTGAAGTATGCTGATTTTAAACCAGCACAGAGCAACACATTATGCATTTGTTCCACAAAACCTGTATTTTCCTAGTACTTGGAATAAAACAAGTTAGAACTGAAAGATGCCTCAACTCTCTGCAGGGGACAATGCAAAAAAAAAAAAAAGTGCAATTTCAGCTTTGTTCCTTGATGTTTTACTTACAGGTCAAAAATACAGTTTTGTATTAATCTACTTTATTCCACATTACCAAACACTTTCAGATGATAACCCGTTCTACAGTCCCTGGAAATGTGCTCCTCCCCTTATCCTTCTACACCGTTTTTGAGCTCCAAGCATTCCAGAAGCATTCCCAAAGACAGAGTATCTTAACTGCACCCATACTCCTCTAACCAACTATCTCTATCTTCCTGCTCTTATTTTTTTTCATGTTGGCAAATCCCCTGGCTCAAATTCTGCCCTCATGCACAAAAAACATCTGGTAGATTTCTCTTGCCCATGGACAGGAGGATATTGCCTCGATGTCAGTCCCTTGTTATCATGCAGACACATTCACAGGTAAGGTATGTAAATACAGTAATCTCAGGCAGTCTCAGGACTGTGCACACTGCTGAGTCATTTCTGTGAGCTCAGCCCTGCAAAACCAACCTCCTCCTCTACACTTGATGAGTAAAGAGGAGTGTGAGAAGTGCAGTGTCCAGAATAATATTTATGCCCATTAAAATACAAGATATCCACTGGATAAATATCCTATGTATTCAGAGAAATACACCATGTGTATGATTCATACATCACTTCTGATATCAAACTTTGCAGTACCAAAAAAAAAAGTTACAGTAAGAGACAAAGAAGGGCACATGAGAAAAAGTATTGTTCTACTTTTTAATTAAGAATTTGGATGGCACAGCACTTACTGCTTCTTGCAAATTAAGTTTTTTTTCTAATGATACAGATCAT